ACTCTAGTGATGACAACACAGGTGGATTCTGTAGGTACAGCTTGACCTGTTCAAAGGCAAACTGACATCAATCATCACATCAGAACTTATTCCGTTTGTTCAGGAGACCAAACTGTGGTTCACAAGTCAAGGTTAATTTTGAAATAAATCATCTTATGAATTGCACTTTGCATAGAAAGCAGCGCACCTCCTTTTCAATCCTTAGCGGTGGCATTTCTAAGATGGCCTTGATTTTTGAAGGATTTACTTCAATTCCCTTCTGTGTGATTAGAAATCTCAGTATTTTCCCTGTCGTCATGCCAAAGGTGCAGTTCTGTGGGTTTAACCTCAATCTGTACTCTCTAATCCATTGAAAGAATTTTTCCAGCTCAGCGTAGTGGTCTTCTTGCTCTTTGGACTTGACAATCATGTCATTCACATACACCTCAACCTCTTTGTGAATTATGTCATGCAGAATGGTGGTTGTAACCCTCTAATAAGTAACCCCAACATTTTTCAACCCAAAAGGCATGACTCGGTAACAGTAGGTGCCCCCGGCGTAGTGAATACAATTTTTTCTCTATCCTCGAGCGCCATCAGAATGTAGTTATACCCGAAAAACCCATCCATGAACAAAAGCAAGGCATAGCCGCAGTGAAATCAATCAACTCATCAATATACAACAATGGAAAGTCATCCTTCGGAATAGCTTTATTCAAATCCCTAGAGTCAACGCAGACTCTTATTTTGTCATCCTTCTTAGGTACCGGAACAATATTAGCCAGCCACGTCAAATACTTAGATACAATCAAGAACCCTACCTCGATTTGTTTGATGACCTCTTCTTTGATCTTCAGCGCCCAATCTGGACAAACTCTGTACAGTTTCTGTTTGACTGGTCAGTCCTCAGGGTCAAGAGGGATCCGATGCTATACAATATTAGGATCTATTCTAGGCATGTCTTCATAGGACCACGCAAAAACATCTTTAAAATCTTTAATAAAGCGATTAAACACTCGCGTTCATCTGAAAACAATGTGGACCCAATCTGGACCAAGTGTGGATCCTTCTCAGTACCCACATTAATGGTAATGATTTCATTAAAACAAGGCTTAGCAAACCTTTCCTCTTCTCAATTAATATTGTTTTTCAACGCCAGTGGAATTTATTCCTTTTCGTTTTCATTAAAATTTTGAAAATATTGTTCAATGCGATAAATCAGTGCCACAGTGAAGTACAAAAAATCTACTGTGTTTTCATTCATAAGTTCTGGCTCTCCGGCTACGACAGACTCAAAAGAGAAAGACAAAGAGGACCTCGACTGGACCTTGGCATCCGGGTTACCACGCCCAGGATTGCCAGACTCAAACTCCCCGGACTGACTTGAATCTGATCCCAACTCCACAGACTCAGTGGAATTAGATTCTGGCTCATCACTCGATTCAGAACTAGAAAGAAAGCCTTCCTCTAGCTGCCAAGTAAGACATGGCGTTCTCGATACATCCAAAATACCACTGGTTGGGTCCACAGCCGGTTCTTCCCTGATCATGGAGACAGTAAAGTTATCTCCAAGTTCTCTAGGTCAGTTGCGAGATCCGTAAGGAGACTGGCCAGTGTTGCCCCTACTTTAGCCTCGCTGTGGTTTGAATCCTCTTATGTGTTATGGCTAGCTTTGATGCCTGGTTTAGCCCTTTCCTAATCACTATCCTGTAGCTGATGATCAAAGAAGATCTTGAACTTGGGGACACGCTTCTTCAAGGAGTTTACCCAAGGCTCAGGAAAGCCACAAAAAGGGAAATCCTCTTCCTCTTTAACAAAACAGCCATTCAGCATCCCTTGGATCGGCCCGTGGACGAGCTCATAATGCTTCCCAGCTCTCTTGGCCTTGGCTCTACCCCTCATTTCTTTTCCCTTTCTTATCAAGTCCTCCTTGGTGAGCACATAGCCCAAGCCAATGGCATGCGGGTTGTGTGGCACCTCTTCTAGTGCTGCAACACCTTTTCGCCCGCTCTTTTCAAGCCCTATGCCTGGAATGTGCCGCAGTCTGTTCATGAAGTAGATGGACTGGGCACTAACATACATGCCTTCATCTACGGCCAACATTGTCTATACTACTTGGGCTTTCGCCAGAGTGAATCCGGAAAGGAAAACATTCTTATCTCCATGATTGATCTCTAGCAATGGTGTAGTCACCTCTAGTGGTGGATGGATGGATGAGTACCCAAAAACGGTTGCTACTCCTTCCTTATGAGGATACTTCAACAGCTGATGGAGGGTGGAGGAGACAACCTTTATGTGATGTAACCAAGGCCTCCCTAACAGCAGGTTAAAGGTTGCCGGCACATCTAGTACGTGGAACTCGATCTTTTTCTTGTACGTGGAACTCGATCTTTTTCATTATATTTACAAATCATAACTTAATTTTAAAACCATACTAAATACAAAACTAAAAATGAAAAAGAAATCTAGTAAAAAGAATTTTATCTTTATAGTAGAAGAAAATATTCTTTCAATTGAGATACGACACGACTTGGATATATACTAGATATGTTTAGGTATGCCAAAAATTAAAATGGAAAAATTTGAGTACGTATTTCGTGTACCCGGTACGTATACAGAAATATCATATATCAGTAAATACCCGGTATGGACACGACATGTTTGTTGAATTATCTATACTTCATAGTCTCAAGATAATTCTAAATAAGAATTTTTATATTTTTTATTATTTTTTCATTATTGAGATAAAAAAATTATTTATTAAATATTTAATTTTAATTTTTTTTAAAAATATTTGTGGGGTAAATTGATTTTTAAGGTATAGTTTTTGGAGTAAAATGACATTTCAAATGAATTTTGGTATCACGTTAGCACATTTCATCTAATTGTAGATAGAATGTACTGATAAAAGTCAAATTAATCAAAATTTTAAAAATTTAAATATAAAATTAATATTAATCAAAATGTGAAGTCAAATTAAAAAATAGGTAAAAATTTAAGAGGGAAAATGAGCTGTGTGTTTGGTGAAGCTCCTAAGAGCATCCACAATGGACACACTAACACGTTTGTTAGTGTCAGTTGTCAAGTTTTGGCTAGCAGTGGTGTGTGTTTGGGGCTACAATGGAATTGTTAGTGCGTGTGTTAGTGGGCTTCGTTAGCGTCAGTTGCTAAATGATTTGTTAACTGCGGCTAGCGCTTTAGCTAGCGCAGGGAAGTGTTTTTTTTGTCTTTCAAGTTGACCGGCCGGTTGACCCGATCAACGGAATTTTTTTTATTTTTTTTTGGGATTTTTTTTTTTTTGAATTTAAAATTTAATTTTGGGCTTGAAATTTTTTATTAAACTAAATTATTTATTTATTTTATTTATTATATACACACACACATATATATATATATATATTTAACACACCCCTTAACACATCCATTGCACTACCACTCACTCTCTAAAATTAACAAACTCTTAACACATCTTAACAAACATTTTTGGGCCCCATTTTTATCACTTTTTGTCATATAATACACTTTAACAAACAATTTTGACTATCCCATTGTGGATGCCCTAAATCATTATTCCACCCATCCATTTGAATGTGATGTTTGGATTCAAGTTTCAAAAATTAATTCAACATCACTTTTAAAAACTTGTTTTAGGCGAGATTTGAATTTGGAAATTTAGCCTACCCGGTCGTCCTCCCAGACGTCCGGTCGGTTGACCGAAGCAGTGCAATTTTTTTTTATTTGGCAATTGGCACCTATTATTTTGTATATATTGAATAAAAAAAAAATTCTGAATTTTTTAAAGTTTTTTATGAACTTTGAGCAGAATTTTGAATTATATGTTTAGTTATGAGTTATAAGTTTTTTAATCAAATATCAGATGTCATATCAAAAATTTCAAACTCTTTTCAAAACTCATAACCAAATAAATTTTCTACACTCAAATTATCATTCCAAAACTTACAAACTCAAAATACAATTTTATTTTCAAACAAAAATACTTCGTAACCCGAGTTTGTGTGGGCCGAATGATTCAAATGTAACAAAACAACATCATTTTACCCCTACGACCATCTCCAACGGTGAACCAAACTGGGCATCAAATTTAAATTTTGGTGAAAAAAACACTTTTTGGTGTTCCAACTGTTTCACCAAATTAATATCAAAATGAAAATTCAACAAAAAAATCATCAAACTGAGAATAAGCTACAGATTTTACCAAATTACTATTCCTGACTGTTGGAAGAGCTGAACCGGTCAACCAGCCGGTTGCCCAGCCGGTCGACCAACCGGTCGACCAACCGGTCGACCACTAAAAGGTTCAAACAATTCAAATGGGTTGGTTCCAACAATTCAAAAAAATATATATTTTTGCCTTCGACCGATCGGTCAACCACTAAAAGGTTCAAACAGTTCAAATGGGTTGGTCCAAACAATTCAAAAAAAAAAAAAAATTTGCCTTACCGGTCGACCAACCGGTTGTCCTTGGACCAGATTTGATGAAAATCAACCATTGGAGCATTATGTATCAGATTGAGAAAATGATCATTTTTTTACTCAGATTTGGTGAAAAATTAGATGAACCGTTGGAGATGCTCCAATACGACATCATTTTAAGACATTCGAGTTATTTAAATCATAAAAATTTAAACTACCAATCATTATTAATCCTCAAATTATCATTGAAAAATGATCCAAACCCCCACAGGGGTGACCCCCACGACCCCCTTTGACCTGTGATTGGCTAACTTTTTCTTTTTTTTTCTTTATTTTCTATTTCTTCTCCAATCACCAATCCCCATATGTGTGTGGGGTTGATAGGGATGGTGGAAAAAGGGTGTCTCAATCACATATCATTACAATTTTAAAACTCCACCCACCGAACCGAAATTTCGTATTTGTTTTATCTTTATCTTTGCCTTTACTTTTTGGCATCGCAATTCTGCTTTCAATGTTTCCTTTTGGATCCAAACTCGAGAAGCCACTTGCTCCTTCTGCTTCTTCACTCTGAAAGATCTTTCTTTATACACTTTTTTTGTTTGGATTGACACCACCACCAACCCATTTCAAGACTCTCTGCTCAATCACCAGTTTTTTCCTGCAATACACCCACAAAGTATTTTCTGTTTTAACTCCGTCTTCAGAACACAAAACTTGAGAGAGATAGCAGGGCACCGAAATCGGGCTATGGAAAGAGAAAGAGAAAGAAAAAGAGAAAGAGAAAGAGAAAGAGAGAGAGAGAGAGAGAGAACAAAAGAAGGATTGAGAGATGGAAAGAGATAGAGAAAAACAGATTCGAGGGGGAGATGGGTGAAAAATATTTCGCCTTGGAGAAAGAGGAAGAGAGATTCTTGATGGAGATGGGTAAAAATTATTCTGTCTTGGAGAAACAGAGAGAGAGATTCGCGAGGGAGATGGGTGAAAATTATTCCGTCTTGGAGAAACAGAGAGAGAGATTCAAGAGACAGAGAGAGAGAGATTTGAAAGGGTGATGCGTAGAAAATATTCTCTCTTGGACAAACAGAGAGAGAGATCCAAGAGACAGAGAGAGAGATTCGAGAGGGAGGTGGGTGAAAATTATTCTGTCTTGGAGAAACTGAATCATCTAATGATCAGTAAGGCGTGCAATTTGACCGCAGATCAGATTGATCATATCGACTTTTTTTACAATCAACTAACATTCTTAGCAACCATTCTCAAGGATTTGGAAGAGAAGCAGCAGCAGCTGAACCATGAAGCTAAAAACCTAACGATGCAAATTTATTCTGTGATCTCCAAGACAAGACAACTCATCCGTTTTTTTGATGTTCAAGTTCCAGGGCAGAGGGACATCAACAACGGTGACAGTTTTTTTGATATTTTAATTGGCACAAATATCATGGAAGAGATTAAGATGATCGAGGAAAAAGTGGTGCAGTTTTATGACCGGATAAATCAGATCCAACTCCTACAGATTTTCAATGATGGAGTCCATTCGTCAATGTCAATGGAGAACAGAACCATGGTAGATGAAGAAATTACAGTGGGCTTTGATGATGAGGCGTTGACTATAAAAAGGCTACTTGTTGGAGCGAGGAAGCAGCTACAAATGATATCAATTGTTGGGATGCCTGGACTCGGTAAGACTACTTTAGCCAGAAAACTGTACAATGATCCTTACATCACACACTACTTTCATATTTGTGCATGGACCTATGCTTCTCAATTACCCAGAAAAACAGATATGTTGTTGGACATTTTACGTTCTCTTTATGTCAATGAAATGGAAAACATGACCAATGAGAAGCTAGGCGATAAGTTGTACAAGAAATTAAAAGGCAAGAGATATCTCATTGTCATTGATGATATATGGGATATTGGTGCCTGGGTCGATCTTAAAATGTATTTCCCCAATGACAACAATGGAAGTAGAGTTTTGTTCACTAGTCGCCTCAAAGAGTTGGCTATGCATGCCTCACCTGATTGCCATCCTCATTGTCTGCGTTTTCTCACAGAAGAAGAGAGTTGGGAGTTATTACAGCGAAAGGTGTTTCAAAATGAAAGTTGCCCTCCAGAACTGATTGAAATTGGGAAGCAAATAATGAAAAAATGTGAAGGGCTTCCACTTGCAATTGTTGTAATGGCAGGACTTCTTGCAAAGGACAACAAGGCACAAGTGTGGTGGAAACAAGTTGCCCAAAGTGTAAGCTCATACATTGTTAGTGATCCAAATCAGTACTTGGACACACTAGCACTGAGTTACAATCACTTGCCTCGTCACTTGAAACCATGCTTTCTCTATTTAGGAGCATTTCCAGTAGACCAACAAATCTCGGTGCAGAAGTTAATTTGTTTATGGATAGCTGAGGGGTTTATACAAAAAATTGGGCAGAGAAGCTTGGAGGAAGTAGCAGAGGATTACTTAATGGGTCTAATTCAGAGAAGTCTGGTAATTGTTGCTCAAAAAAGGTTTGATGGTCGAATTAAAGCATGTCGTATGCATGATTTGTTGCGTGATTTATGCTTCAAGAAAGTCAGGGAAATTAATTTCCTACAGTGTGCTCACAATTATGAAGACACTTCTTCTTCAAGTAATTACGAAACAAATAACCAACGCCGCATGTGCATCCGTTCTTACTTTGGACCAAGATTTGATTATATTCTCTTACAGTCTTATTCCCCAACAGTTGTTCAATCATTATTGTTCTTCAGCCATGAGTTTAATAAAATAATTGGTTTCGACAATTCGTTTGGTGATATGTGCTCGTTTATTTGTTTGACCTTCAAACTTCTTAGAGTGTTCAAAAGATGCCATAACAATGCCTTCTGTCTTACAGAATTAACACAACTTCTTAATTTGAGGTATTTGGCAATTAATTTGAAACATTCATGTGTATTACTGCCATCAATATCCAATCTCTCAAACCTAGAAACATTTTTTTTTTTTCTACACAACGGAGTCAGGTTATTCTGCCATGTAATGTTTGGAAGATTCCAAAGTTGAGGCATCTTTATGCTAAAGGAAGAGCAAACTATGGTGTGTCTTTATGTTCTGAAGACGCAATAATGGATCACAACCATCCCTCTATATTAGAAAACCTACGAACCATCACAAGATTAAACCGTTATGGATCTACTCAGGATTTATTGGCAAGAACTCCTTTTCTTACAAAGCTGGGAATTTGTGGACATCTGTGTTCAGATTCGGGGAATATCATGTTTCCTAATCTAGAATGTTTGAGACACCTTGAGGCTTTGAAGATACAGAATAAGTTCTCGTTCCCATCCAATTTCCGAGAGGTCAAGTTTCCTACAAATGTTAAAAGGCTAACCTTGATATATACACATATAGAGTGGGAGGATATATCAATCCTTGGGATGATGTTACCCAACCTTGAGCTTCTCAAATTAGAAGGAGATGCTGCCTGGGGACAGCAATGGGCAACAACTGATGGTGGGTTTCCTCGACTCAAATTCTTGAAACTGAAGTTCCTCAATGTTAAGCAATGGATCACCTGCTCTAGTCACTTTCCAAGCCTTCAACACATTTCGTTGGAAGTTTGTCCAAATCTCAAGGAAATACCATCTAGTTTGGGGGATATACTCACTCTGCAGCTAATTGAGGTAACCTATTGTCATTTCTCTGTTGAGGAATCTGTCAGGAAAATTAAGGAAGATCGAGAGAGCATTGGAAATAATTGGTTGAAAGTGCTGATTAGGAATCTGTCAGGAAAATTAAGGAAGATCAAGAGAGCATTGGAAATAATTGGTTGAAAGTGCTGATTAGGAAATATCCATGTGGCGCATTTGAGTCAAAGTGTAATGATACAACTTCTAAAGGTATGTTCTTTTTTATATTTATGTTTATTTTTTTCTTTCCCATTTTGGATTTGACCCTACATAAAATAAAAGTAATCTACCTTGTGTATATAAAAACACTAAAACTCATGCCCTGCACGGTCTTAAACAAACAATTAAAATTTTCTTAAAAATTAAAGTAATAATTTTAAAATTTAAAAGGAAAAAATAGTATAAATTATGTGAATGAGTTGTTTTCATTTAAATTGCACTAAAGTCGTGTTTTAATTGTGTTATTATTAATATTTTATTTTAAGTATTAACTAATAGAGATATATATATATATATATATATGTATGTATGTTATTACGTGGATTAGTAACATTTTAGAGCAAAAACATTGAATGAATTATAAAAATTCCATTTAGCATACAAGATAAATAATATATGCTTTTATAGTATATTTTCTCAAATGACATAACAACTAAATTTTTTAATTTACAATTACATAATAAAATTTGTTAAAATTGAAAATAAATTGGGGAATGAAATAAAAATAAAAATAAAAAATTTATAGAAAGAGTAGCATTAACCCCTTTTCCCAAGCCATCCAAAATGAAGGCATCTCTATCTCGCATCAAGCTCCACCTCTAAATCATTCCACTCCTCTTATTAACCACTTTCAACTCGTGTTTTTAGTTCCCTTCATAGACACTTTTTTATTCCCCTTCCCCCAATTACCCTTACAATTTTCAATCCTACAATCAACCTCTAACTAAACTTTATTAGAATCTATATCGGCCATATTCTATGATCTTTATCCTCATTAACTAAACTAACCCCTTGTAAATAATCTCATCAAATGGATTATCTTTCATGTGATTATAAAAACATGTAATGGTTAGACATGTGGTGCAAGGTTAAAATTAGGTCAACTATTAAAAATATGAGGAAAAATATCAAATCAATTAGAAAATGGCTAAAAAAAAATGTCATTTTCATTGGGGTCAGGTATGTCTTATGTCTAGTGCAAGTTATTTCTTGTGCTTGATGCAAGCCTTTTATGTGTCAGACTTTCAAACGACACGAATATATAGTGCAAAATTTTTTAATTTGCCTCACTAATATGCGATTCTCTTAAATATAAACCTAAGGTCGGACATAAGCTTAGTTATTCACAAACTGAATATTACAACATTTGTACCAACTTATCTTAACCCAATTCCATTTAATACCTTTTATTTGTCCTATCCAGCACTATAAACCAACATTTTTTACTTTTTAGTTTGAAAATTATTTAATTTAAATATTCTAGCTATAATTAATTATATATATATAAGAGAAATCAATATATACAAAATTAAAAATATAAATCTATAAATATTGTCTAAAACATATAGAGAATTTTTTTTTATTTTTATTTTGGATATAAATCATTCTGTTAGCCAATGTCTATATCATGGATAAAAATAGATAAAAATTCTAATTTGACCTTAATATCTTTGAATTAAACTGCTTAGACCGGTCTTAGACTTGTTGAACCATTCAACTTATAGTTAGTATTAGAAAATTACGTGTATTTAGAATTTACCTAAATGGTAATTTTGTAATCTACTTAAAAATTTATGAATTTTGTATTTTCAATTAATTGTTCATAAATAAAAAATTTATATGAAAAATAAGCGAGAGCAATAACTATTATAAGCTGGGTAAATTACACTCGCCTCCCTTGAGGTTTCTGACAATTACATTGGCCTCTCATATTTTTTCCAGAAATTACACTGACCTCCCTAGAGATTTATTTTTGATTCGCAGATTCCCCCTTTCTAGTTCACTATTAGTTTGACAAATTGTTCTTTTGTTTTTTTTATTATTTATTTATTTTTATTTTTATTTTTATTTTTATTTTTGCTTAAGTCAGTGATTAGTTGTTAGATTATCACATAGGGAGGTTTTTGTTTGATTTTTTTATAACATTTGAAGTGATTATCTATAAATTAAAAATAAAATAAATCAATTAATTATTTTTTAGGCAAACAAATTAATACAAATTATTGAAGCCAAATGAAAAATACAAAAACTTGTATATATGTAATCCAATAAATTATATATATATATATAGTCAAACCATGTGAGTATTTAAAAATATTATTTAATACTATTGAAATAAATACAAGTGGCATCCCAATTTTATTTTTATTAATTTATATAGTAAGACTCATGTCATCAAAATAAATAAATAAATAAATAAGGAAGAAGAAGATAGTAAGACTCATCAATTTTATCATATTTTTTTGAAGACAACTAAACTGTATGATGTCAAGTACTGATTAAAAATTACCAAATAACTTCTCTTATATTTATAGAATTAATTTTTTAAATTTGTTTCATCATCACTTTTGTCATAATAATAGGTTATTCTAAAATACACATAAATATTATAACTAAATTTTTTTCAGTCGTAACTAAAAAAAAAAAAAGACTCATAACCAAACACCACATAAGGTATAATCAAAATAATAATCGCACATTTAATGTTTTTTAACAAAAATATTTCTAATGTTAAAATTACTAAACTAACCCTTCAATTAACGCCGTTAATCACAGGGAAAATTAGTGTAATTTTAGAAAAAGAATGGGAGGTTAGTGTAATTTTGAAGAATCTCAAGGGAGGTGACTGTAATTTATCCTTAATAAGTTATATATTTTATTTACATATATTTAAGATAATTGCATAAAAAATTGATATTAAGTTTTTTAATAATATTTATGCTACATTTGGATAATGATTACAGGGAAAACAAAATTAAATTAATTAAACAAAAATGTTATTTTTGTACTATATCTAATTCATTTTTTTTCATATTCTTTACCTAACCAGAACAAAATATAGTTTCTTTCACTCCATTTTCATTTTTTTTTTCATTTTTTAATTTAACTAAGCATATAGCATTTTATGTTTTTTCATATTTCATTTTCATTTTTAACTTTTGTAAAATTTTTGGAATATGAGATATATATGTATTGAGCAACAATATTCATGTGGTCTAATACGTATAGAAAAGTAATTCAAAAAATTATCTAAAAATAAAGTGTATGGAGTATGTGTGTGCCAAAATTTTACCACACAACCAATATTTGATCTTCCTCCTAGAATTCTGGGAGCACAATTGTAGAACACGCAGCCTATATAGATCCACGTTTGCACAATTAGAAGAATAACTAACTCGGTTGCTTGTCAACCGAGAGGGCACTCCGATAATAAAGTCAGTAAACTAATATCTCAAGATATTTTGACAAATTAACAATAACTCAAATTAACGCACATAAACTCACGTACCTCTCACGGGTGCCTATATAAAGGTGTCCTCCTCCTAGAAGTAGTGATCAAGTCAAACACTTATTCCTTTTAGGAATAATACTAGATGATTCGTCTCTCCTAGTTGGGTTACGGTTAACCTCTCAAAAGAGTCCTAAATACACCCAACCTAGGAGTCATTCATTCATTGGGATTTTTGTCATTCACCAATTACCTCGGCCTAGACATGGATCATTTTCATACCTCAACCAATCACATTCTGCCATGTGGCACTTCAGGCCAAGGTCATGCCACATGGACATGTCGAAAATTATGTCCCCACACTTGGCTCCTAGATACTATCACCTCAAGAACCATAACCACAACTAAGGCTACTGAAGACAGAGTTGCAATGACAACTATAACACACCTGTAAAACTATCATAAGGATGTCGGATAGCAGTACACAATCCTCTCCTCCATAACAAACTTAGTTAGAATCTATAACTAATCTAGAGATACTTTGTTTTGTTTCCATGTATACATTGATTGAAGACTTCTATGTGTAGTTGAGTTCATATTGAAATAATAGAAAATATCATTTTGTTCTCTCTCTCTCTCTCTATATATATATATATTTTCTTCATGGTATCAGAGTGAATTAAAGCAAGAGGAACATTGGAATTAGTATTAGTCAATACAAAAGGATGTTTGTGACTCTTTGAGACAAAACAATGACTGCAAAAAGAAGAACAGTCTCTATGAGAAATGGAAAAACCACAAGTTTTAGCTATATGATGAAAAACATCTGAAGAAGAAGGATGCCCTAGTCTCTTATACCAAGTAGCAGTTGGAGAACTAATACTAGAAAAAACCTTTGAACAGTGACCAAAATGAGAGGGAAGGAAACTGATAGAGACCATTCTGATGGTGACCTCTACATAGAACTTGGTTGTTGTGTTTGTCCTAAATAACAAATGATTTATCAACAAATGTAATGGTGCAAGCATTATCAGATGTGAGTTGATGAAAATAAAGCAAAATAGATGAAATTTGTGGAACATGTCACACATTATTAAGTTTGAATTTGAAGGAGGGAGTAGGTAATGTCGTTGTTTCTTCTCCTAGTCATGTTTTTGTTTGTCCTAATCCTAGTCCTTCTCTTGCTAACGATCATGTCCTGTCTCGTCTCCTACTTCTTCCTCTGTTCTTTTTCCTCTCTCCACTTGGTATCTGTCTTACTATTCATATTTTACCTCCTCCTTTGCCTCTTAATTCTCATACAATGATATAACTAGAGCTAAAGATGTTGCTCCTACCTCTTCTTTGTGTCTAACAGCTTCTTTACTTACCAAGATGCAATTGCAATTTGAATTGCACTGTTTTGGTTTTACCTATATTCCTTTTATTCATAATAAGTACGTTTTGATACATGTTAAAAAACATATAAGAAAAAATAGAAGTTTGTGTTTTTAAGATACTATTGAAATGTACCGTTGGGTCATCATTTGACCAGTGACCCGGCCAAGTCCATATTCTTGGGTAGGCTGGCAAAGCCCAAAAAGGGCTTGGCTTGGGACTAGGTCTAGGTCTAGGTCTAGGTGTTGTAGACTAACTAGTTAGCCCTTAAAAGGTAATCAATCAACCCATTGGCTCGACCCACAAGCAAAAAATAGGGAAAATGTTTTTTTTTTTTTTTTTTTTTTAAAAAAAGCTAGCTTTGGCTCTGGCATGGCGTGGCTCACTAGAAAAAAACCTACTAAGCTTAGCCACAGAAGAGCTTGGGCATCAATTTCACGAGTTGAGCCGGCCTTGCTTGAGCGTACACACAATGCAAATTGTCAGGTCATGACCTACCATCTTCAAAACTAATCAGTAAGTTTCCTCCTATGATGGATATACTGATTTGAGTATATCAAGTGAGCATAGGGCTATGATAAATGTGCTCAAACGAAGTTGATGTTTAAATAACTTACTGAATCTCTTCTTCTAATGCATCTGCTAAAATATAATATTCGGAAAAAATAAGAAGTACCCTCTTTATCAATTTTGTGTTGGCTATTTGTATTAAGAACAAAACCTTTTTTTTTTCTCATATAATTTAGTAAAATTTCAAAATTATTTCCATTTTTTGGAAATAAAAATGAGACACCAAACAAGTGTTTTTTTCTCGTATTCAGAATATTTGTAAAACATAAACAAAAGATTAAAACTTAAACATTACCAAATGGGAGTTTAAGAGCTCAACCTTGAGAAAAACCGAGAAAGAGTGGGAGGGGATGTTGATCCTTGGCTTGTTACCCAATCTTTGTTGAGAAGTGTTGATTTGCTAAGCATTAAATATTTACCACTTGACCGTAGATCCAACTATGAATACATAGTTCTCTATTGTGAAGTTTCTATTTTTTGTCATGTTCTTTTTCTTTTTCTTTTCTGAACTTCTTTTTTCTTTTAAGACTTCACACAGGAAGATTAATGAGGAATGCAACTTCATAGTGAATTTTAATTTTCTCAAGTGGAATTGTATATCCTTTGGCTGAAAATGTAAAATCAGTTTAATAACATGTTTCAGGATGAAGATTGTCTTGCTATGGCTTCCCTCCCTTGTTCTGAATCAAACAGAAATGGTGTTTTCAAAGGTGTTATCAGAGAAAATGTACCAATTAGAGATTGAGTGTTTGATTATGCTAGAAATTGCTAGTTGAGTGTGTTTGTTATGTAATATACCTATTTGTGAGTGCTTGTCTGTAATATAACTACTTTTGTGAGGAAATTGTTGGAGTATTATTTTGTCTTGTTTACTGTCAAAATATAAAAATGTAGTAGAGTTTGTGACTTTAAATTTACCTAGTTTAAGCAGATTTAGGTGTTCAGTATTGCTGGCCAGCTACTTCAACTAGGAGGAACAGAGCATTTGAGTTAACAATATATCTTTTATTTTTCATATAGGTTGCATGCATGATACATCACTTATTCACCATGCATTAATAGTTTTGAGTGGTGGAGATATACAGAAAGAAAGATTGTACAAATTTTTTGTAGAGTGATGTGGCATATTGTGGTCTCTCGATTTAAAAATAGAATTTTCATCATTGTGATCTTGATTTACAAATGCTTGATGTTATACAAATTGGATTACATTGATCTTAAAAACTACTAAACACATATTAGAAGGTGCTTTGTATTCATTCAACAAGGGACATACAAAGTGTGATGGTCATTCCAGATATCAGTGAGGTTAAATGGAGTACAGTACTTTTTATTGCTAAGCTGCTGCCATTGTTCATTTCTGCCAGCACTTTGGCAACCGCAATGTACACGAACCCGCCTGCCGTGAATCCTGGAAACAAAAACCAAGATAAAAACAACAAAAACATATTAGGATTATTACTAAAGCTAATGCATATGATACCCTCAGCGTCGAGATGAGCTTGCTTGGATCATTTCTTGAAGATAATTTACCTCAATCAAAGATGATTGTCCTTGATCTTGGCCCATGACTAAAGACTATGCCACAAAGCCACAATAACTGTAAAATGTGATTATTAATTCTTCAATTATTTTGCGATTGAAATAAATAAATAAATAAATAAAAGGATTCAACTTACCATACTGAAATGATACTAACCAATGTTGTTCTTGCTAGTGCCACCAATGCTGAGACGAAATTGAAAAAGAGAGCTTTCAAGACACTGAAATCGGATCTTACCAACTAAGAAGCTCAAATACAGATACGCATGTGGATGCAGATGCAGACACGGACACAGACACAGATGCGGGCATGGGACAAAGCGAGTTCAAAAAAATGGAAACACAGAAGGCGGGGACACGGTAATAAAATATGCTTTCATATATATATATATATATATATATATTCTATCTAGATTGATATTACATCCGCAAACAATCAATATTGACAAAAATTAACTATAATTCTATTTTTTTTTTTTTGAAGTACTTAAATTAACACTTATAGTTTATATCTTTTTTTATGGATGATCTATTAAGTATTTAAATCTAAGTAAAAAATAATAAACATTCAACATTCATAAAAAACACTAAATAAAATGGGAAAAAAGGCAAATTGAAATGTCCCTAGTGTGTTTCCGAAGTGTCCCCTGAAAATAAATTATTTAAATATGGGGACACACCATGGTGTGTCCCATACCCCGACATGTCCATGAGTCCGACACGCATATGACACTTGTTTTGCAGTGTCGGTGCTTCATAGCTTACCAAGATTCCAAAATCACCTATCTGCACAGGAGGGTTTTAACAAAAGATATAGCACCGAAGGAGAGTTTAATTACATTTATAATTAAAAAATGAAAAGTTTTTAAGGATGAAATACAAGATTTAGTGTTGCCCAACGTATGATTATATTCTAATGTGGCATTCATAACGACAAAATATAACTACGCCAACATGGCAATTCCTTAATGACGCATAACAAAAATATTTCAACAAAATTTAGATCAAATATTTCCTCTTTTAAGATAAATTATGTTAACAAGTGGACTAAAATTATGTAATCTCAATTCGCTTGATTTTGCACCATACTTTCAAGTTTTTTTGTCAATAATGTCCAATTGAAAATGGCCGTTACAATTTCACTGAAATGTCACACGTGAACAACACACGTCATGTTTTCAAGGGTAAAATAGTCCATTCACCCATACCCCATCCAACTTTGTGAGTTACGCTTCGGTGCCTCTAAATGAACCTCAAATTTGTGGTTAGACATCTCATTTCTTTGACCATCCTAATTCCTGAATTCAAATTTTGTTCTTTTCCTTTGAGGACCCTAGTTAACACCAACTTTACCCCATCCATCCCAACCCCTCCACACCACCACCACCGCCCCATCATCTCCACCATCTCCCCGTCCCTTCCCACAGTGAGCAGTGGCCTCTCCTTCCCTACCTACAGCCCAACGCTAGATCCCTTCCTTACCTGTCAAACCATACCCTAAACCACCACCTCCCCTCTGAATTTCCTTCCCACCAGCCATCATGACCACTGCTGCCCGATGCGATCTCCATAAATTTGGTTCGGTGGTCTGTGTCCTAACCACCACTATTTGTTTAGTGGTGTACGTCTGAACCACCATTATTTTTTTGGTGAGGGTGCTCTACAATTTCAAATGAAGGGGAAGGGAGCAAGGACAGAGGAGAGCTCTAGGGTGGGTGTGGCTGGAGGCAACGACATCTAGGTGAGGAAAAATGGATTGGGCAATTGCCGGAGTGGGGTAGAGAGGGGGCATGGAGCGTGGGGAGCGACTGGGGGGTGGCGGCTGGAGTTGGAGAGGGTGGGGAGGGGAGTTGGAGAGAGAGGGGGCTCCAGTAGCTATAGGAGCTGCTAGTGGCACTAGCTAGCCAGGGTAGAAGATGGTTGTATGGTTTAAGGATTTTTGGTAATTTTATTTAGGGATATAATGAGGTGCATTTAGAATCACCTGTTGCACTTAATTAACTTTCTCAAAACTAATATTATATATATAAAAAGAGAGAGAGAGGAGGCAGTTGGTGAGCGTTAGGGAAGGCGAAGGGGGTTTTATGCAATGGAGAAGGGGTGTTGAGGATGAATGCAACAAAGGAGCAGCACGGTGCAACAATGGCGACGAAGAGGTAGCAATCTATCCTTTCAGCAGAGGCAAAGATCTTCAATGACAATGGCAAAGGCAATTTCAGTCGATCTCCTTCTCCTTTTCCCCCCTTTCTCTGACCCATTCACTTGATCTTCCCTCTTTTCTTTTTCATTGATTTGTAATGGAGGCTAAAATTGATGGACGGTAAAATTGATTTGACAAATGGAGTGATTTGCAGAAAGGCGGGTTTGCTGTGGTTGGAAGGGGGTGATTTGGCAGATGAGGTGTTTCACAGTAATGGGGTTGTAGAGGGGGACTTTGCTGGTGGTTGGGATGGTTGTTGATGGTGACTAATTGAGATGGCAGTGGAGAGGGTTGAGATTGTTAAATGATTGTTTTATTATTATTATTATTATTATTATTATTATTATTATTATTGCTAGGCAATTCTTGGATGATGTTGATGAGGTGGGTTTCAGGCTGGTGGAAGAAGGTTTGGGTGGCAAAAAGGGGTTTTAGTGATGGTTTACAGAGTGGTTGATGGTAGCTGATGGTAGTTGGTGGCAATGGCAGTGGAGGGGTTTCAGTGGAAGAGAGTTTGGGTGGCAGAAGTGGTGGTTTGGGAGGGTAGAAAATGGTGGTGATTGCTAGCAGTAATGGAATAAGGTGGTGTGCATGGTGTAGATAGCCGGCGTTGATGATGAAAGGTGGGGATGGTTTGTGCTGGGTCATTGGGGAGAAAGAAGCAATCATTGTGGAGGGTAGAGAGAGTGACAACTGAATGGACCATTATGCCCCTAAAAATTGGTTGTGTGCGGCACATGCTAAATTTCCATTAAAAATTGTAACGATTGTTTTCAATTAGACTTAATTGACACAAAATTTAAAATTAAGGCACAAAATCGAGACCAAAATGACAAAGGGTAAACAATCATATTTATCATAAGAAAAGGACCAGAAACAACGTTTATCTAATAAGTGTAATTAATTTTGCACTTCTATCCATACTATATAATTTTAGAAGATGCCGCAATACATAAGAGTCAGTATCAAGCCTAGTAGAATATATGTAGTTAGTTATGGAGTAAAATAACCCATCAACTCACATGTTTTTATAGGAAACAATACACTCTGCATGCTTACATCCTTAAGCCAGGCCAAGAGTGAAGAATTTTATTAGGGAAGACAATTTAGTGACAACACAAAATTACCGATATATACGCACTTATAATATGCAAATACAACAATGTACTGTATGAAGATTCATTCCGAATCTTTAGAATTAACTACCTAAAGAACTTTATTATCTGAAATTGATATCAATATAATGACATAAAATTAAATAGTCATTATTTTTTATTAAAATCTCCATAGAAAATGAAGGAACAAGAGGAAGAAGCGAACCACTTAAGGAAGCTCATGTGCAAGCAGAAACAGAGTTCTGGACCACCCACTAACTGATCCATAAAGGAGGAAAGCACTTCCCAAAGCCATCCCATCAGTAAAATTGTGCTGAAATGTTACACGTCACATTGAAATGCTTCAGTTTTCAGTCAAATACATCAATTAAAAATAAAAAAAAAATCCTATAAAATTGTAAAACCCTTACATGTTTGTGTCCATTAAATCTATATTCATGGACAGTGACACCAATCATAAAGAAACAACATTACCATTGAAATTTAAATTAAAAAATAATAATATAAATAAAAAAAAATTAAAAAACATACTACACCATCGGAGAAGAGGTTAAGGTAACCAAACACAAGATTTGATGGAGAATGATAAAGTTCTTTTTTGACCAAGGATTTTATATGGTGAGTGGAGCCATTTGGAGCATCTGAAATGTTATCTTTTCCAGCACCACTGCCAGTTTTTCTTTGCAAAAGTGAGGATCAAACGTAAGTTTCAATAACAAACAAGTTGCAGTAATGATTTTAATAATAATAAATAAATAAAAGGGGGCATGCGCCAATGGGGCGTGAAGACAGTCCTAGCTTTATTGGAACCTTGAATCCAAGCATTTGATAGTATTAACACTTTTCTTACCAAGTAAGCTAGAAGGCATCTTGAAGGCCCTGCCAATTTACATGATAAAGCTTTGTTCAAATATAAGGAATCCTAACCATTCCCAAATACTTGAAAGGGTAAAAAATTGACAAGTCTAATGGAAAATGTTTGCATTTTGATAATATCGATACATTGTTA